TTCACTGGTTTATTCATGCTTTATGATCTATGATAAACCAGTGGAGGCTGTAGACTAAACACTCCTGGTCTGACTACACAAACCTGCATTCACCTCACATGGCCACTTTTGTGAATCTGAGCGTTGCGAATATCGTTGCTCTTGTCTTGGCTGGGCCTCATGTTCCTTTCTTCATTGTTTAAGTTCTTTTTGGACTGAATGGTGGGAAGGGGTCATATCAACAATCTACAGTTATTCCTTCCTCTAATTTATTGTCCGACTCTGAACCCCATTTGAATTGCTCTAAATATGCTGCAGATATCCCAAGGTTATCAGTGTTCTTCCTGTTCTTCCTAAACGGTAAACTTCACCTCCCTCTGTTGGTTGATTTCATGACTTAAAGGCTGATATTTTGAATATTTTGAATTGAAAGATTGTGTTACACAGAGCCGTTAGGAGTGAACATGTTTGCTTGTAGTGTCAGGTTTACTGTGCCATTCAAGCTCCTCCACTTGTACTGAATTTGAGAAAATTTCCTGTTTCAGTTTAAGTTGCTTATATCGCTGCTTTATGGAAAAAGTCCAGGTCATATTTATATTATTTATATATATATATATATTTACATAAAAATTGAAAAATTGAAAGTTGATCATTAAGGACATTTCCCTCATAAATTGAATTATTTTTACTGTAATGCATTCAGATGTTTTTATTCGTAATAATGAGAAATTCTCATTATTCTCCGATGATTCTTTTTTTTTTCACTTTTTTTTATTTTTTTTTATTCCATGTTTTTCATAATCATTACAGTAACTTTTGAAAATACTATTATACAGTGTTTCTTTCTTTAAATCTGCATAAGTCAAACAAAGTTCACCAATTGGGTAGGAAGTAGATGGAGGGACAATATATGCAATATATGAATTTCTAATAAATAAATTCAATTAGATATAAATTGTATAATATTGAATAAATCCTTTAATACTATTAAAGGTGGGGTAAGCGATTTTTCAAAAAACGCTTTAGAAAACTGATTCGGGCCGAATAGCAAAACAAACTTGTAGCCAATCAGCAGTAAGGGGCGTGTCTACTCATGATGTGGAGGAGAGAGCGTTCAGTGCACAGGACGGACATTAGCCGAGCCGAGCGACAGAAAGATAGAGATGGCGGATAAAAAACAAGAGAGGAAAATGTCTGTGGAACAAAAGAAGGCTTAAGGCAATAAGGCAAGAAGTAGGACCCGTGTAAATATCGGATCAGCTTTCCAGTGTATATATATATAAGTATAAGTGATTTATTATTATTATTATTAGGGCTTCATGTTAATGTTAATTTAATGTTTATGCTAAAAAAAAGTGCATATAGCTGCTAATTGTATTTGTTGTTTGTTGATTTTCAAATATAAAACTTATTGAAATGTTTTCAGTGTGTGTATCAGTTCTTTTTGAACATTTTCATCTAATTTTAACAAAACCGTGATAGTATTGATAATCGTGATAACTTTGGTCACTATAATCGTGATATGAAATTTTCATACCGTTACATACCTAGAAGACAGTCAGTCACACAGATTTGGAACGACATGACGATAAAATATTTTTATGTGGTTTTGTAGTACTTCACTGGTTTATTCATGCTTTATGATCTATGATAAACCAGTGGAGGCTGTAGACTAAACACACCTCCTGGTCTGACTACACAAACCTGCATTCACCTCAAACGGCCACTTTTGTGAATCTGAGCGTTGCGAATATCGTTGCTCTTGTCTTGGCTGGGCCTCATGTTCCTTTCTTCATTGTTTAAGTTCTTTTTGGACTGAATGGTGGGAAGGGGTCATATCAACAATCTACAGTTATTCCTTCCTCTAATTTATTGTCCGACTCTGAACCCCATTTGAATTGCTCTAAATATGCTGCAGATATCCCAAGGTTATCAGTGTTCTTCCTAAAGTTTAGAAACGGTAAACTTCACCTCCCTCTGTTGGTTGATTTCATGACTTAAAGGCTGATATTTTGAATGGGTCTGGTTGAAAGATTGTGTTACACAGAGCCGTTAGGAGTGAACATGTTTGCTTGTAGTGTCAGGTTTACTGTGCCATTCAAGCTCCTCCACTTGTACTGAATTTGAGAAAATTTCCTGTTTCAGTTTAAGTTGCTTATATCGCTGCTTTATGGAAAAAGTCCAGGTCATATTTATATTATTTATATATATATATATTTACATAAAAATTGAAAACTTGAAAAATTGAAAGTTGATCATTAAGGACATTTCCCTCATAAATTGAATTATTTTTACTGTAATGCATTCAGATGTTTTTATTCGTAATAATGAGAAATTCTCATTATTCTCCGATGATTCTTTTTTTTTTCACTTTTTTTTATTTTTTTTTATTCCATGTTTTTCATAATCATTACAGTAACTTTTGAAAATACTATTATACAGTGTTTCTTTCTTTAAATCTGCATAAGTCAAACAAAGTTCACCAATTGGGTAGGAAGTAGATGGAGGGACAATATATGCAATATATGAATTTCTAATAAATAAATTCAATTAGATATAAATTGTATAATATTGAATAAATCCTTTAATACTATTAAAGGTGGGGTAAGCGATTTTTCAAAAAACGCTTTAGAAAACTGATATATGATTGTTTTATGCTTACTGAATTTACTTTAATAAATGCTTTGCATTTTTTCTTTCTTTCTTTTGGGTTGAAATATGACCTGGACATGTTCTTGACAGTCGAGCCTTGTTTCTATTCAGCTGGCCAGGCTGTTATTCCTTGGTTTACATACAGAATATAAAATCATATCTCTCTCGCCTCAGTAAATGTGCCGTGTGCAGTTCAGGTTGAGTTTACAAAAGGATCTGTAAGTGAACACCTGTCTTCACTGTTTGCTTTGTTCTGCTCCTTCACACTCCACATGATTTTTCCTCAGGCAGCAAGATGCCAGGTTTTAGCTATTTTATGAACAACAGAGATGAGAGTCCTTTAAAATCTGATTTGTTGTTTTGCAATGGAGGAGTTTGAAGAACCAACCAATCTGTGATCTCCATTGGTTCACAGTGAAGTGGATTTACTGCCTCCTAAAAACTGAACGTTCCTGATCTTCAAGATCCAACTTGTTTAACAGGTGATGTGTTGTGTTGTGTTCTGCTGTAACCTGATCTTCAGGAATGTCAAAATCTCATAGAATTCCTCAGTGGTCTGGTAACACATTTAGATATAATGAAAGGAACCTTTCACTTGTGTCTAGAAATGTTTGTAATGTATGCAATGTGAACCTTTTATTTTTTTAATGTTTGTAAAGGATTCTTGCTCCAATTTGTGTACAGCCAGTGTTACTAAATGGCATTGCAAACATAGTGATTATTTTCATGACAATTTGGCAATGTTTTATTACAATGGGTGTTGTAAGTGAGTGGTGCTAAAAGGTTAATGCTATTTACTTGCCACTTACACTAAAGCCGACCCTAAACCAAACTGATAAGTGATTTGTTCAAAAGTAAAAGTGACATTAAACACTTGTGCAGAAGCAATGATGCCATTTTAACTTGCTTCTACAAGTCTTTGAGCTCTTTTATCGTGACTTGTGTTTCACGCAGCGCTATACCAGGTGAGCTATCAAGCAAGTTTACTTCAGAAAATCCATGCATACGGAGCTGGTCATGTAAAGCAAAAGTCAAAAAATGTATGAGGTTACAAATCATGCACTATGGTAAAAGTGATAAAGTAAGTTTTGATTAATTGATAATCTGCTCCTGTAATCATAATTTGTGTGAAAAGGAATAAAAGTTGTTGATGTTTTACTTCCACTATTGTTCATTTCTGCTGGAAACTGCAGTGAATTGTATGTATAGTGCCGTCCTTAGGGGGTGCAACTGGTGAAAGCGATCGGGAAAGAAACAAGAGGGGCCCAGCTACCTACCTCGCACCGGGCCCCTCGTCAGCTAAGGAAGGCTCTATGTATGTAGGTGTGTTTTTGGAGTGCTGCAAAAATGTGGGTTGCGGCACATTTTTCTAATGAGTCTATGTTGTATGGATCTCTATATGTTAATGAGATTGGCTAACCTCATTGCATGTGAAACACAACATAGTTCACACTGTTGTTCATCAGGGTGTGGCCAAATTTCTGCTAAATAAACATTGATATCTAAATGGGATCGGTCATATGTTAATGAGCTTATGTTTGTGTTGTCATGCAAACTCCCATAAACCAGATCACGAGAGTTGTGCCATTGCTGTTCATAAAGACTTAAGATTATGTGAAATTGGCAAAAAAAAAGGAGCCATATCTGGTGGCCAAAGTACGTGAAGATGGGCTGTTTTAACTTTGGCTCTAGCAAATGCATAGCAGTACGCCATTTGTAACCCATTTGCAGTTTGCCAACAACTTGAGCTTGAGGCTGAGAAATAAGATTATGATGCAGATGCCAAATTTGATTAATTTAATGCTGAATTGAAGCAGTAAGAGTGCGTTTTGAGGTCATCATGCCCTCATTTAAGGTCTGTCTCTGGGAATGTTCTGTTATTTCTCATGTGGCCCGTTTCCTCAGCAAATGAATGAGTCTTTGTTTCATAGCAGCTCAAATGACCTTGAAATTAGTTTACCATTGATAGATTTGGGAGGATATTACAAAATGTTTTATTTATTTCAAAGCCTAATGGCAGCAGTTTTTGCAATTTTTAAACTATATAAAAGCACACTCTGTTTTTTTTTTACTTTCTTTCTGCTTGAACATGCAAAGATATCACATGTTCAGCATGGGTTTCCAAGTGATTCAGTGGAGTTTCAAGTGATTCAGCATATGTCTGTCCACTGTGTTATTTTTAAAGCAGCAGGATGTTTTAAGACGAGTGACGGATTTAAGAGATGCATTGAGCTTTTCCCCACCCCTTTTCTCTCGCGCGACTTTATTGCTTTACTGAGTACATCTGGGATGGAAGTGTTGGTAGTAAAGAAAAAAGAAAAGCATGCACGCTTTCCCCTCCCCCTCTCCTTCTCCGGCTGTGCCTGCCTATCCCGCCTCCCTCTCCGGCGGACACGCCGACCGCTACTCCCATAGCCTGTCAGGAAGTGTTATGACTTGCTGCCATAGGTCTTTGTGAGGCAGGCAGGAATGCTGGTGTTTCAGATTAGCCTTGAAGGGTGTGGAGCGAGTACTGCCTCTACTGCTGCAACCGCTGGTGCCTACAGCTCCATTCTCAGCTCACGTCGGGACGGTTTGTCTCTCTTTTTGCTTCTTCTCTTCTCCCTCTACATCCCCCATTCTCTCATTAACATTATACACTGGGGAAAGCATTCTCCTTGTTTCTGTCTCTTTCCCCAGCTGCTCTGCTAACGGCACAGCATCTGTAAAAGCTCTCTCTTGTTTGAGTTCAGATTTGTTGCATCTGTTTGCAGTTTGGAGTGAAGGAAGCAGCTCGGGGGTAAAAGGGCAGTTGTTTTAAATGAGATTTTAAAGTGTTTTTTGCATCTTGTCAGACTGGTAAATCCATTTTGTGTGTTAGAACACATGGTCAGTTTTCTGTTTTTGAATCAAAACCCAGAGAAAGCAGTTCGGTGGCAGTTTTCTTTTGCTTTGTAACTTAACACTGCATAATGGTTTTGACTTTGTTCAATCACTCATGCAGTGTTGGCAGTCCTTAGAGACACTGAAAACTAGTGACTAGACAGGATTCTCTGGTTGCTTAGATTTGTGCATGACTCAGTCCCATGAGGTCACACTACTCTTCACCCATTTGGGAAGTAAACAAACCTTAGTCAAATTAGAATGCATCTATACTTGAATTGTGAAGAAGCAATTGAATTGTGGAAGATTCGAACTGATGATTCCTTGATGGTATGTAGCGCACAGTGCTGTCTCAGGGAAAGAGATGCCACAAGGGTGGAGAATTGGCCCGTTTGTTTTTGTCTTTTTCTAAAAAATTCCTGCGACGTTTCTGTGTTGGCCTTCTGAATAGTTGAAGGATGACATCAAATGTAGACCTTGAGACAAAATCTGCCAACAACCTTAGTCCGGTGCTTTCTTTAAGGGTTATTTACACAATTAGCGGTTTAGCCATTATGTAACTCTGGCATTGCCTTATTTTTGAACATTTTTAGAAGTCCATAACTTTATGCTGTCCCACCGGGGTGTGGTAGGACGGGTTTGCACCACTAATGACATAACAAAGTGTTGAAAAAAACACAAGCTGGAGTGACAGCTATGGGAATAGAGATGTTGATATGCACCACGGGTGTGTCCTGATTCATCATGACGACTTGTAAGGAACAGGAAGATGCATCTTGGGCAGCTTGTACTAGTGCTGCATTGCTGTGATTGCTGCATGTAAGAGCAGATCCCTTGTCAGTTTGTACAGCAGAGTGTGATTGAGGCTGCGACGCTGCATCTGTTCTCGTTTCAGTTGCTATGGCTGGACTCTGCTCAACCGTTTTGATTTTGTTGTGGCCTTGATTCAAACGGTACATCATTGTAATGTGTTCGTTGCCGCTCACTGACATGTTGGGCCAGTGCCATAACATTGCAATTAAATGGACTGCATTAATTATTGTGATATCCTGGGCAAATATTTACTTTGTTTTAGTGTATTGTGTTTAGTGTATTACTGCTTATTGTGTGTTTGGGGGATAAGGTTTAAGCTATACTTTTAAAAATATGGTTCCACAAAGAACATTTAACATGCATAGAACCTTTCCATTTCACAAAAGCTTCTTTATAGACAAATAAGTTTTTTTAGGTTATTAAAATATTCTTCACAGTTAATAAAAATGGTTCTTTTAAGAATCGGTTACTGAAAGGTTCTTTGGGGAACCAAAACTTGTTCTTCTATAACTTGTTCTTGCAAAAAACCCATTTGGAGCCTTTTTTTTTTTTTTAAGAGTTTAGTTGTTTAGGTTGAATTTCACAATTAAATAAAAGCAGGCCGACTGTTGGACAGTTCAGGTCGGACCGCATCTGGTATTCAGATTTTTACGTATCTATCATAACTCTGTGATAAAATAACACACTGATCTTCCAAAGAAACATGTCCAGACTTTGACTTTTGGTTGTGGATTGGTCTCTTCCTTTTAGTTGATCTATTTTAGCTTCTCTTTTACAATTTTCACTGTGCAATAACTGGATTTGCGACTCTTTGCTAGGCTTTTACTAGTCTCGATTTCCAGTTGTCTCTACAGTTGACTAAACACAATGAATAGGACTTTAAATAGATGTAGTAGTGTTTCAATCTTTGTCATGGCAAAGAATCACGTCACTGCGTTACTTACATTATGGCGAGGTTGCATTCAAAAAGACCTGCCTTGACACGCCCTCTGGAACATGCATTTTGCCCAAATATAGTCTACTCTGTTGCATGCTTGATAGACGTTTGCATGTCATTTGCAGGTCTTATGATGTCTTATCATGCATGTACAATCCCTCTTCCAGGTTTCTCTCTCAAAAGACAGTCGCCAGTGTTCATTTACTACAGTTTGGAGGCTCGGACAATAAAGTTTTTGTCCTTCTCTCCACAGAAGGACACACTTTATTCGACTGAGAGAGCTTCAGGTTGTTCTTTGGGAGATGGCAGGAAAGATATCCAAAGAAGAGCTGGAAGAGTTGCGGGAGGCCTTCGGGAAAGTCGGTGAGTGCTCTTCTGGTCTGACCAGTTTTGCCTATAATCACTACTTGGCGTGCCGCCCTTGAAGGTGTCTTTTTCCTTCACGTATCTTGTGATTTCTACTGATTTGTCTTTGTTTTGTTTGCATAGATGAAAACAGCTACATCACTGTGCAAAGCCAAAAATTAGGATTAGCAAGCCCTTCAAATGGCATTTAGATCCTGGTTTAAAATGGCATTGATTGGGAAACTCTAGACTGTGTTTTTTTTGTGATGTGATTGTTTTGTAATGTTGTTATCAGTCCTCCTAACTGCTTGTGAGTCTTGTCCCATAACAGTCTGCATTGTTGTTGCTCAGAGACACATCTGGGTTTTTCATTTGACCTCATGAAGATTTTGGCATCACTTGTTGCCTGGCGCTTGAATTGCCCTCATGGACTCTTGTCTCCAAACCAGCAACTGTTTACTGCCACTATATATATATATATATAATCTGAAAGATTCACTTTGAGTAGGACTTTAATCTATTTATTTATTCAGTAGCATGTACTGGGCATGTACTGTGAGTATTTGCCATATTTTGAGCTATGAGATTGTCAGCTGCAGAATTTGGTGCTTTTATCAAGTCAGTTACCAAGTTAGCCAAGTGTTAGTTCATCCAAAAATGAAAATATATCACCATTTACTTCATGTCATTCCCATTGATCTTAAAAATGTCAGTGAAGATATTTTTTAATGAAACCTGAGAGATTTCAGTCCCTCTATTGAAAGTCCATTCCACCAAAACTCAGAAATAAAATGACTGTGAGCAGCTATCTATTCAATGCTGGCTGATGCTCATAGCAGAGGTTTCTTGAATATATATATATATACTCACATGAGCTCTTAAGGTACTTCAGAAGTGGATTTTGTTAAAGTGGTTTTAAAAAGCCTGGAACATCCATATCAGCGACTACCTGAGTGTGAGTGTTGCATAGAGTATCAGTAGAGAATTAATATGGTATGTCAGTAGATTTACAGAAAGCAATGCATTTAAGAGTATAGAGTATATCCAGTTTGTGATCTTAAACTTCTGAGTTTTAAAGTTTGTGGAATTTGGATTTGGATGTTTTTCATGTTCCTTGACAGGAATGTGCTTCAGACTACATTTTCCCATTTATCTGATTTCTCCAGCAGACTGGGCAGAAAAATTGAGGCCTGAACTGCTGCCAGTGTCATGGTGTTTTCATGCACATACTAGAAAACCCCCAGTGTCTGACAGTTCCTGATGTTTGTTTTAATGATGTTTGATCTGTTTTAGTATTGCAGATAGCATTTATTAGATAGATCCTATAACTCTATATCTCTACTTCCACATATTTGGCAAATGGCAAGATACCTTGTTCTGGTCAGAATCTAAGGCCATGTTGTGTCTAGTTTGTGGATAACACCAGAATGCATTACTTGAAGCTCAGTAAAACTGTTCCAACGTAAATGTGTTTAGCCTGAACTATAACTATAACTTTAGTCATAAGCATAAATTCTATAAATATAAACATTTTCATTGTTTTTGCAATGTTTCATTGAAATGTATAGATCTTTGTTTTTGTATTAAAATGTTATATTGATGTTTTTAAGCTGCTTAAAACGTACCCAAGAGATGTTTTCACATTTCCAAAATGTTTTATTTTGCATGCACATATGCAGTAAAATGCAGGTTTTCTTAATTTTCTCAGAGTTTGTTGCTGGTCATTTTTACTCATCAAACTGTTTAAACTGCATTTCCTCACACTTTTTTTCTTTGTAGTTGAAGTTTCTTAACTTTTTTTAAGATGTTGAACTGCAACGTAACCCAATTGCAACCAAAATGTTTTGTGCTTGTTGGGAAGATGCAAGATGTTGACTCTAAACCATTCATTTTCACTTTTCTCCATAGATTTGAACGGCAATGGCTTTATCTGTGACTATGAGCTCCACGACCTGTTCAAAGAGGCCAATCTGCCCCTGCCGGGGTACAAAGTCCGAGAGATCATCCAGAAACTGATGGAAGAGGGTGACAAAGACAAGGACAATAAGATCAGCTTTAATGAGTTTGTGTCTGTAAGTGTCTGCAACCATTCATGGATGAGGGACAGATACATTCCTTAATATCCAAAAATAATTATGCATCTACATCCTACATATAGGATGTATATCTGCATACACATCCAAACTATGCTAAAGGCTTGCTACACACAACAAATTTTCTAGATGATCAGATGATACAATAGGCCAAAAATGTCCAAAAACTAACACTACCCATCAAAAGTTGGGAACAATTATGATTATGATTTGTTTTTGCTGCCTAATGATTTTCTGGAAACCGTGATTCATTTTTATTTCTGGATTATCTGATGAAATGAGATTTTAATGGGTGAGTGCATGTTACATCTTTTAGAAAACGGTTGAATGGTTAAAGTGAAAAGGTTAATGAATTAGTCAGAAAGAATTAGTAAGTTAGGAAGAATGCTATGTAAGGTTGTTTAGTTGAACCTGAATTTGAAACGCAACTAATTGTTCAGAAGGCACCATTTACAGCTTTAAATCCCTGATTTGCATAATCAGCAGTAGCTTTCAGCATAAATAGACAATGCATTGTACATTGAGATTAGAGTTTCAGTGCTGAATCCAGATGTCATTTCGCCATTGCATCATTTTTAGGAAGTAGCGTTACTAAAAGAATGATGGAATAAAAATAATTAGTATTAAACATTGTTATGATGCCTCAGAATGTGTGGGTTAGTTGAGTAGGGTTATGCTGCAAATTTTCTAGATGATCAGATGATACAATAGGCCAAAAATGTCCAAAAACTAACACTACCCGTCAAAAGTTGGGAACAATTATGATTATGATTTGTTTTTGCTGCCTAATGATTTTCTGGAAACCGTGATTCATTTTTATTTCTGGATTATCTGATGAATAGAAAGTTCAAAAGAACGGCATTTATTTAAAAACGGAAAACTTTTGTATCATTATAAATGCCTTTACTGCCCTTTTTTTTTTAAGTCTTACCCAGACTTTTGAATGGTAGTTTATCACAGTTTCCACAAAAATATGAAGCAGCAAAAACTGTTTTTGACATTGATAATTATAAGAGATGTTTCTTGAGCAGCAAACCAGCATATTAGAACGATTTCAGTCTTGGTGAGCATAAGAGACTTCTTTCAAAAACATAAAAACAAAATCATCATTATTCCAAACGTTTGACCTGTAGTGTACATTTAAAGGAGAGACCCAAGCCATATCTATAGACTCTGGTCTATGATCAGTGAGACGCTTTTGCAGTCAGTAATTGTTGATGTCTAATATTAAAGCGGTTTCATTGAGACTGCTGTTGATGCTTCCTGTAAACAGAGCGTCGTCCTGTTGAACAGCCCTGTGTTTGTTTGCACTGCTGCGAGGAGGTTATGAGCAGCTGCTAGCAGCCTCCTCTCACTAGATGCTCCACTTGGCACAGACAGTCGTGCTTTAATTACCCACACTGCCACATGTCAGAAAATATGTGCATCTGTTTAGTTTCAAAGACCTTGTGTGTGTTTGACCACATGTATGCTTGTGTATTTTTCAAATAGTAATACATATTTTCTTCTTCATGTGTGGATCAATTGGTTGCTGTGTATTTAAGCAATGATGTGCATGAGTCAAGTCCCAGGCTAAACGTTGCTGTTAGGCATGACACACTGTGCAGTGACTATATTCACAATATAGCATGGTGTCAAGGGCCAGATTTGACATAATGAAAGGTTACACTTTATTTTGATAGTCCACTTTTGACATTCTACTAAGAGATTAGGGACTTTAAGGAACAACAGCTGATGGAACGGTAACGGCAAAGAAAGTGCGATTGCGCATGCGCGACTTTAAGAGCTACTTCGTGACGTGTACATTGTAACGGTCTACTACGGGAGTACAGCTAATTTGCCATAGTCGCTACTACGTGACAGATTTAAAGGCGAGTATGTTTTGCATGGTAAATCTAGGTTTTTAGACTTATTGGCATCATACAAGACTAAAAACTCTAATTCTGACAATAAGTTGTTGGCATGTACAGTAGTAGTAGCTACTTATACAGTAGTTAGTAGAATGTCTGAAGTGGACTATCGAAATAGTGTATTTTTGTATTATTTTTGTTGTTTTATTAAGCAAAGTAGTTTCAGACAAGTAAGCTAAGTTAATAGTTAGCTAATAGTTACTTCTCTGGGTGCTGTACTGTTACAGTTTCATGTGTCTGAGCATTTCAGCATGACAAATATGACTTCGAAACACTTGCATGGTCTTAATCCTTTTGTTTCGAATCACATATGTGTTAGAGAGAGATTTGAGGCTAACAGAGATCATCGCTTCTGTCTTGCAGGAGAATCTTAACCTGGCTCTTAACTCGGCCTCTGCCATTGGCTGTCATGTGGTCAACATCGGGGCTCTGGACCTTCGGGAAGGCAAACCTCATCTGGTTTTGGGCCTGCTGTGGCAGATCATCAAAATTGGTCTGTTTGCTGACATTGAGCTGAGCAGAAACGAGGGTATGTGTCTCTGTTGCACAAATACGGTTGCACATATTGTCCAAATAGTGCTGGCATTGTCATGGCTGATGACAACATCCAGGAATCCTGACAAACAGATGAAGCTCTCGTTTAAAGAAGTTAAACGATAACCCAACTGACTGAATTGACCGTTGTGGCAGACTTGCTCTTATATCTGACCTCATTACTAGACTGAACAGTTTGTTTTCTCCTAAATTAAACCTAAGGGAGTTTAGGCCTGTCCCAGAGGCCCTGTGCCTTAACAGAGAGAGTTGTCTAGCAATCAATAAACATTTATATTATTATATAAAGTTGCTTTTCATCTGACAGACTGCCAGGAATGAGTAGTCACAAAGCAGGACTTGGATGACAAATTATAAACAAATAATATAATTGCCTTGGCTTGGCATTTATAGATCCAGTGATGGTTCTGTATACAAGCATCAGTGCCTTGAACTGCAGGCAACAACCATCAACCAGTAAAAGTGAGACAAATGCGCTGTCTTCTGGGTTCTCATTGGGTTAAAAACCCATAAACATGTTGCTGTGTTCTGGATCATTTGCAGAGGTTTGTGTGTGTAAGCAGGGAGAATAGCTAGAAGGACATGGCATTAATCTAGTCTAAAATGGTGTTATTATTGATGGACCTTGCTACACAGTGATTAGTGAATAGCTAGGGGGTGTTCCTTCATCCAGGCCAAAGTTTGTCAGCCAAGCTGAGATCCATGCAAGTACTTAGTAGATCTACATGTCCTTAGTGTTGCAGTAGCAGGAAAATCCATGTGACTGGACGGTAGGTACCAGCAACATTGAGTAAATGAAGAAAGGAAAGGGACCAACACGGAACCCTGAGGTACTCCAGTGGTTTGTTTGATCTGTGAAAGGAAAGAAGAGACCTGGTTGAAAAAAAGTGTTTTCATATTAACAAAAAACTGAAGCTGGTCTGTAATTTTCTGCTAATGTAGAGTTTTTAAAGTTTTGGGTTTACCTTTGCCTACTTGAATGTGGTGGGAAAAGTATGGGCACTACAGTAAATATTTAGATAAAACTCTGACAGAGATGTTTGACATGACATAATTGAGTTGTGGTGCACTTTGAGGTCATGGAAAGAGCCTGGTCAATTTGAATTTAAGTGAATTGACTTTCTGAAGCACAACAGGAATTGTGAAATTATCAGTGTTCAGTGAATACAAAATCATGTATGTAACGGTGTTGCAAAAGCTAATACACATTAGAATCCGTGGATTCGCAGCATTCTGGTTAACTGATACACATGGTCTTTTTTCAGCTCTGGCGGCATTGTTGAGGGATGGAGAGACACTCGAGGATCTGATGAAACTGTCTCCGGAGGAATTGTTGCTTCGCTGGGCCAACTTCCATCTGGAGAATGCCGGCTGGAGCAAGATCAACAACTTCAGCCATGATATTAAGGTCAGTCTTAACCCTCTAAGTGCCAAAGTCGCAAAATTGCGACAAGACGTCATACTTAATCAAATAGACTGTAGTTCCTAATATGGTGTAACATCTCATTTGTATTCCCTACCACTAGAAATCTATTATTTCATGAATATTATGAAATTCAAGAGGGCCGCCCCTGATGACGTCATAATATTTTGACGGCATAAAATTAGCCGAGTATATTTACACCCCACATAAACGTTCGGTCATGCCCAACATTTTTCTAATTTACAGTAGATCTCTATCTTTAAGCCCTTTCAAGCCACAAGCTTTTGAAATCTTGATGTCAAAATCCAGCATTTTTCCAAAAAACCCTGGCGCCTAAGGGGTTAATGTGTTTGTTTACTGTGATCTGCTTTTGTGTCTGCATGCTAATAAAGTATCAGATCTCTGTCTCTACTAATGTTTTCATGAGGATATTGAGCATGAGAATTGTGGTAGTAGTCCAGCATATCTGTTATATTCATTTAGTTGTAAGATATGAAAACTGTTGGTGTGAGATCTTATGGTAAAGTTTTAAATGCAGAGTACCACTCTCATATAAGGGCTTTTATTCTCTTATCAAGATAATTGATATAAAATTGATATCCTGCTTATTGAAATAACATATTAGTCTGTACAGATGTATTATTGTCATGTAATGGATGATAAAGTTCATAATGTTTCTTTTGCATCACATGTACACTGAATCACACATTTCACTCCTGACAACAAAGAAGAAACCAGTTGTCAGATATCTTTTTTTACAGACAACATGAAACTGCATTCGAATTCCTTATTGTGATGTATTCCAGAATAAAAAAAAATCGTTCATAAAAACGTTCAAAAAATGAATTTCAAATATTTTCCTTTAAAATGATGTGCACATCAGTGTGTTGATGCCATGTTCACTTTAAATGAAAGACTAAAATGTCATGACTTGGCTTTAATAATCATACTATATGTATTTTTAGATTATAGAGTCATAAACACTTTCATGGTCAAATTTTAGTGAATATTTCCTATACAGTCCTGTTGTTTTGAATGATATTTGCCAATCATTGCAATAGTGGTTAAACAGTCACAGATAAAGCAATCACTATTATTGTTGCTCATGCTTAAAGTTAGTCTTTGTATTAAACAGCAGTGGTTCTTAATCCTGGTCCTGGTGACCCACCACTCTGCACATTTTGTATGTCCCTCTTATCTGACGCACTCAGTTGAGCTCATAGAGCTGTTCCCTAATAAGCTGATGATCTGAATCAGGTGTGTAAGATAAGAAAGACATACAGGCTGTGTCCTAAAGCTGAAAAATGCTGCCTTTGCGGATGCGTTCCAAGGTAGAAAAGCATCAAGGCACATCTGGATCCTATGTTAGTTTCACTTGCTGTCTCCTTAGATACCTTTATCTGATTGATTTTTGAGGGCAGCATAGATGTATCCTTCTCTGCCTTTGATATCCCACAATCCTGTGCGTTCCATTCTGTGACAGTTGAGCTAAAAATAAAGATGGCGTCTGAAAGTTGCTGTTGTTGGTCAGTTTGTGTAAACCTAGGTTTTTAACAAACTTCATCCACTTTTGAAGTCATTTCTAGTGAGAAATTAGTATTGCAGTAATTAAATATTCACTTAGTTATCACCCAAGCTCTCTCTATTTTGTTGTAGATCATTAAACTGTTACACTACCTCAGACGCCCGTCCGAAATCAGTTTAATGAGGTTGCTACCTTCGTGCACAAATGCTGCCTGCAAAGTCCTTGCCTGATAAGGCAGCGAGTCATCAAGCTTTCAGACGCAGCCACAAAATGTGCAGAGAAGTGGGGCATGGCTTATTGAGAAAAGGCATGCTATTACTTTTCTTTTCAAATTCTGAGTTATATATAGAGCACACAATATTATAGGGACTTGGCAGTGGGTGGGCTCTTTTGACTTCAGAACACCACAACATCAGCATATCAGCAACCTAGCATTGTGAAAGGGAGATTTTCCCACACTCAGAAAATGTGTACATGTAGTTATATATAGTTATAGCTTTTTAAAAGCTTAAGAATGACTTTAAATCAGGGGTTCTCAAAGTCTATTCAAAGGTCCAATTCTGAATTTTCATCAGTGTCAAAGGTCCGGACCGGAACAATTGGTTATTACAAAACTTGTTTTTAATAAACATACATAACATGCATAACAAATAAACATACATTTTTTGAAAAAATAAAGTGCAAAAGTGGCAAAACAATTAATTTAAGTGTCAGCAATAGAGGTCGCCCGAAAAGGGTTTTTCTCTGGCCGATTCCGATATTTAGAAATCAGGGCAGCCGATGGCCGATATATGATGCTGATTTTTTTGGCCGATATGTTTGGCCGATTTATTTTTTATTTTTTTCCTTTATCTCATAAAAGCGAGTTTGAATAAATGATTATTGCAGGGCACAAGATGGTAATAGTAGTAGTAGTAGTAGTAGTAGCCTAATTCATAGTAATAATACATGGCTCAAAGCACCTTCTCAAAACAGTTCTGAAGCATGCTTTTTGTTTATGTTTGCTGACAGACACCAGTGTTTCCCACAGACTTGCAAATGCAAATTCATTCTCTGCCAGCAGGAGGCGCTGTTGGAGCGGAGATATAGCGGTTTCCCCAGTAACGGCTGTAAAAAACTAAACATATGATTTACAAGTTTAACATGCGTTTATCAAAGTAGGAAATAATCAGTGTTCTTGAAATATGAAATTGGGGTGGGTCCGGACTGAATTCCCTCCGGGTCCGGATCTGGACCAGAGTCCGGACTTTGAGAAGCACTGCTCTAAGTCATCAGCATCAGATATTTCAGACTCTAATTCAGGACTAAGAACTGCCTGATCTTTCTTATCATGCAGCAGCTCTACAAACATTTCAGCCGTTAATCTAGAATGTCTGGGATCAACCATACTATCACTCTGGATAAAGAGTGCTCGGGACAATACGGTACGTATTATAAGTGTACCGTAGTGATTCGGAATAAGACAAAAATGCTGTTTGGAAGATGAATTCATGATGTACTCGCTCATTATATACATTTAGCAAATTTTGAACACAGAAAAAGTTACATAGTGCTGCTTTAAATGACATGTACCTGAAAAAAAATGAATAGCATAAAACGAATAGGAAAATAGCATGAAACGTGTGTGAATGTAAAATGGAAAGTTTTACATAGATGTTTTGCACATTTTTAATCTCTTGAACTAATGGTTAGATGCCAGATTTACTTTAGCTTTCCTTTAAGGTGAAATCATTCTCAGCCTCAAATGAATGGAGACATGTTGCCGAACTTATCCAAATTAGAATTTACATAACAGCTAACTCTTTTCTGTTTCATAAAGGCAGTTCACCAGAGTGAAAGGCCAGTTACTTTGACTTTCAAATGCTCTGGCATGTCATGACTTTAGTAAAACATGCGAGGGGTCATTTAGTGTCTAAAGAAAGATGTGTGACCTGAGATGTTAAGCGAGTGCCCTCTTGACTCGTTCATTCTCACAATAAAGCGATTTGGTGAATCTGATCTCTACTGAATGATTTAACTAACATCTGTCTCTATCTCCCTCTATGCTGCAGTTAACAGATTTTTCAAACTGTGTAAAGGTACTTTTCCAAATGTACTGCTAGATCAGTTACAGAATGCATTTTTGTTGTTTGTTTGTTGTTTTGTTTTATTCATTCATGTTCTTAGGAATTCATGCATGATTGTGTGTTTCTCTCTGGATTGTGCCTCATCTAAATATAATTGACAGTGTAACTGTATTCTGCTGCCTTCAAGTGCTTTGTGATTTTGGTCAGAATAAAATGGATGCGTTGGACAATTATAGAACTGAAGTCGCACAAGCCTGTTGCCTCATAGTATTTTTGGCAAGCTTTTATTATTTATTCTTCAACAACAGTACACAAAATGCATAGAAACTAAGTTGTACCAGCAATATACACAATGAAAACTTAAATATGATTAATACCACCTTATGACATGATTCTTTAACCCCAAATATTTGATACACAAATATCTAAAGCCTCTAAATGATCAAAAATTTGCTGAAAAACCGAGTCTTTTGGAGAGATTGGCATAGTTTTTAATGACTTTGAAGTCTCTGATAATCAATCATTGTTTTACTTCAGCTTTTAACACAAAAGTAAGTAAACATGGTTTTCTGTTGGAATAGATTCTGTAATTATGCCGCTATGGCGTCCATGTGCTTTCAGCTCATAAATACAATCCTGCAGACAGGACTTGAAGGCAGCATTACACTACAGGTTCAGTGAAAGATTTTTTCCTCTTCTTGCTCTTGCAGGACTCGAGGGCTTATTTCCACCTGCTCAACCAGATCGCGCCGAAAGGTCAGAAGGAGGGTGAAGATCGTATTGACATTGACATGTCAGGCTTCAGCGTGAGTTCAAATTATACACTTTTAAAATGCACGTCATTCACTGTGTTTCTGTGTCATAAACCAGCCCAAAACGTGAGACCGGAAACAAAAGATCAACTTCACAATATCTACGGTCTTATAATGCACTCGTGAGCTGCTCTCAGTAGAGGAGGGAGGCTTATATCAGAATTGCAAAGCTTCAGTCACTGTAGCAGCTCATTGTAAGTCAGGACAGAGGCAGTTCATCTCAGATGTATGATGAGACACACTGGGGACTTCCTGAAAGCCTCAAGCTTCCTGCTTTTTGGAGAGCAGTTGTCAAGCATCAGCAGTTCAAACACTAGTGTTTCTCTGGGGGTCTAAACTTGGCTTGAGAGGGTGAAAGTGTATGCAAATCTGGGATTGATTGTTCATTCGCTGCTTTGGTTTGGGACAATAACAACATTGCCCATTACCCAGCAGCGTCTAAACAGACCGAGGTCTGATGTGTGAGTGCCGGGTGACTCATGTGAGTGTATTTAACCCCACACACTGGCTGTTATTGACTGTGTGCTGAATGAGAGGGCTGTGGTTTCAGCCAGCAGCTGCTGTAGCGCTGGGACACAGTCAGGGTCATTTCATCATGAAAAAAGGAAAGATTAACAAGTCAAAGGTTTGGGGTTGGTAAGATTTATTAATGTAAAGTCTCTTCTGCTCACCAAGGCTGCATTTATTTGATGAAAAATATTGGAAAGAAATATGAAATATTATTACAATTTAAAAGAACTGTTTTCTATTTGAATATATGACACATGATCCTTCAGAAATCATTCTAATATGCTGATTATTAGTGTATCAAACTGTGATGTATAGTTTTCAGGATTCTTTGATAAATAGAAAGTTTAAAAGAACAGCATCTATTTGAATTTCTTTTTTGTCGCAGTGAAAATCTTTACTGTTACTTTTGATTAATGTGCACTTGCTGAATAAAAATATTAATTTCTATAAAAGCATAAATAAAAAAATTACTGACCCCAGTTTGAACAGTTTATTTACTTATTTACTAAAATTCTATTTGTGTCCCTGGACCACAAAACCAGTCATAAGGGTCAATTTTTTGAAATTGAGATTTATACATAATTTATATGAAATTGAGATTTATACGATAGGACAATATTTGGCCGAGATACAACTATTTGAAAATCTGGAATCTGAGGGTGTAAAACGATCTAAATATTGAGAAAATCGCCTTTAAAGTTGTCCAAATGAAGTTCTTAGCAATGCATATTACTAATCAAAAATTTTAAAAAAGTTTTAATATATTTACAGTAGGTAATTTACAAAATATCTTCATGGAACATGATCTTTACTTAATATCCTAATGATTTTTGGCATAAAAGAAAAATCTATCATTTTGACCCATGCAGTGTATTTTTGGCTATTGCTACAAATATACCCCAGAGACTTATGACTGGTTTTGTGCTCAAAGGTCACACACACCTATATATTTTTTTTATATATATAATTTTTTTTTTATCAATTTATCCTTTCAAAATGTTTAAAGCCAGAATTTTTTTTTTTTTTTAAGTGTTTTACAGCATATAAGGCAGCTGCTCATTGCTTGTCTTGTCATTGCTTGATTTGGGCAACTTGTTAGGGTTTGGCACGAAGCCTAATGTACATGACAGCATTTTGATTGTAGTTCTGCACTATTACACATTTAACTGATTCTGAAGGTCATGCAGGTCCCAAATGAATCTGGCTCAAGTAATGTTCACGTACTTCATCATCTGTGCCATTTCTCTTAAGTGTTCACATTTGATTTGTGCTGTCTCTTATTTTCTCACTGACCCATGGGACAGAAAAGACGAATGTTTTGCATCTGTGGCTTAAGCAAATCTGTCCCATTGATGTAGAGAGGGGGAGACTAGTAAATTTGTCAGCAGCTGAATGCAGTGAATTGTGTTTGGCAACCGTCTCAGCTTGTCCTGGTGTGTGTTCTGCAGGAGAAAGATGACCTGAAGAGAGCCGAGTGTATGCTGCAGCAGGCAGACAGGCTGGGCTGCAGACAGTTTGTCACGTCTACTGACGTCGTGTCTGGCAACCCTAAACTCAACTTGGCCTTTGTGGCCAATCTCTTCAACAAGTACCCAGCGCTGACCAAACCCGAGAATCAGGACATCAACTGGGGACTTCTGGAGGGTGGGTGTTTTGCTCATGATTGTTGTTCTTTCCTGTCTCGTTTTGCCATTTTAGCATTTGCTAAATACACGTGCCACGTAATGACTCATGAAAATGGGTGGCATTTCTTCCAAACACTTACTTCTAAAAAATATACCGGATGGCATCACAGAAGGCATATTCAGGATTTGATTTTTAATGGAAACTGGTGAAGCGCGTCGGCAGACAGAGATTTAAAGGGAGGGCCTGGTCGCCTCATTTCCTGCGGCCTGAACAGTTTATTCCCTTTTGGTGAAGGTTGCGCCCTCTTGTGGTACAAAACACAAAAAACAAGCAGTCAGACCTAACCCTCAGTAGATAGCATTCGGGTCATTCTATAATTTAAGGAGCATTTCTTGTCCATTGATGATAATTATATAATTTTTCTAACAATTATCTTCAGAAATATCATATTTTATCCATTAAGACAATGCATACTATAATCTCGTGCATATATTTAGTGCACCCTGTTTTTCTGTTTACTTGCCCGTAAATTAGTTTTTGCAATGTCCGCTTTTTGACTTGATGAGTCTTGAGTTCAAAATAGTGAATAAAAAAATGGATAAGGTCAAGATTATCTATATTTAGTTTATTTCTACAATCTAAATAACTGTTGCATGTATCAGTCCAAAAGAAGTTAAATAAAAAGCACCCTTCCATAAAAAAAAAGTGTCTCACACGGCTCCGGGGGGTGAACAAAGGCCTCCTGTAGCGAATCGATGCATTTTTGTAAGAAAAATATCCATATTCATAAACGCAGCCTAATTTTAATTTTTGGGTGAACTAACCCTTTAATTTTTCTCTATTTGATTTCAATGACCTGTTGTCAGTGAGTATATTACATGCAATATGGTTTGCATTTCTATTTTCATTCAAATAAATATTAAATTTAAGGTTAATCTGCATTACCTGACTGGCCAGATTTTCTTGATCAGACCCAAATTATGGGTCAAAATGGTGAAATTGTCAACTATATTACCTATCAGCGCGTACAGTTTGTCCGTTACATAGTTAACTAACTCGAGACCTGGGAAAACCTATTTTTCTTTATAATACCAAAATGGCAACTAGCAGATAAGACACACTGATAAAATATAACAAAAGTTGAAAAATATTTTTTGACACTTTTTTTCCAGATGTGGAATTAACCCTAAATGACACAATGATTCATTACAGAAATCATCATATGTACATACTATGCTCCATGTCATTTATATACTAATTATTAGTGGCATTTGCTAAGAACATCATCACTCACTATTACTCTAATTACTAAACAAAAATACGTCATAGTTGGTAAACGGATGACTAGCTGGTCTGGTCATTCACTTATTCATTTATGTATTGTATATTGTGTATGTTTACAGGAGAGACCAGAGAGGAGAGGACTTTCAGAAACTGGATGAATTCTCTGGGTGTCAGTCCTCATGTCAATCACTTATACGGGTAAATCCCACGTTCTCTTACCTTCACATCTTAACCTGTGTCAGGACATCGAAATCAAGATGATAGTGGAATGAAATGCACCTCAAGTGTAACATTACGTGAATGAAATTAGATGTGTTTCGGCCTTTTCAGTGACCTTCAAGATGCTCTGGTCATCCTGCAACTTTATGAGAAGATCAAGGTTCCTGTCGACTGGAACAACAAAGTCAACAAGCCTCCATATCCTAAACTAGGGGCCAACATGAAAAAAGTATTCATTCTACAGTCATTACCCTTTTTCCAAAAACATGCAGAATGATCCTCAGTCTCTGCGTGTGTGCATGTGTGTGTGTGTGTGTGTGTTCAGCTGGAGAACTGTAACTACGCTGTAGAACTGGGGAAGACCAAAGCCAATTTCTCTCTGGTGGGCATCGGGGGGCAAGACTTGAATGATGGGAACCCAACGCTCACTCTCGCCCTCGTCTGGCAGCTCATGAGGAGGTACAACTCAAACTAATAACAGACATAGTTGACACAGATGCATCCTATAAGATTAAAAAAATCTAAAGCATGCACAGTATAGTAAATCTTAATAATAAAACTTTTTTTTTTAAAGAAATTAATACTTTTATTCAGCAAGGACACATTACATTGATCAAAAGTTACAGTAAAGGCATTCATAATGTAATAAAAGATGTGTAGTAATAAATGTAACACTTTCCACAAAAATATTCAACTGTGTTCAACATTGATAATAATCAGAAATGTTTCTTGAGCAGCAGATCAGCATATTAGAATGATTTCTGAAGATCATGTGACACTGAAGACTGCAGTAATGATGCTGAAAACTGTTACACGAATACTGTTAAATTCATATTTAAACTAAACACAGACATACACAGAATTTGAATGATAAATTTAGTATAAATCTGATTGTATTACTTTATTGTTTTTCTCATTAGAGCATGTATGTGAATATAAAGCTTGAATAGTTAATGTGCTAGTAAAGTGATTCTGACGAGTCTTTGTGCTGCGTTCTCCTCCAGATACACTCTGAATGTACTAGAGGGCCTGGGCGACGGGCAGAAGGTTAACGATGACATAATCGTCAACTGGGTTAATAAGACTTTGTCGGGAGCAGGAAAATCAACCAAAATCTCCAGTTTCAAGGTGCTCAAGCCTTCGTTTATCTGCTAACGTATATGTGCATGCTTCATACAGCAGCCTTGTATTCATGTAGCTGCATATGTATGGGATTAGATCTCTGCCACAAATCTGCGTACGACAGATCATATTTTGAGTGCGCAAAAGTGCGTTTTGCACGCACGCGAGTTTTGTGGAGAAAATGTTTGTCTCGTAAAGAAGAAAGTATTTTGAGCACACGAAAATCAATTTAGAAGATAACCTGCTTAATAATTATGCACACCTGAATATAAGGCGTTTTTCACTTCCAGCCTTCATGAACAATTATATATCGGTTATAAGTGATTAAATACAAGATTAATAGTAGTTATTAAGATTGATGTTGTTTGGAATTGGTAAAATGTGCTTGAAAAAAATATATAATCAGAATATCAACTTGCATAATAATTATGCATGCATTGTATTTTCCCACAATTTTCATCAGTAATGCAAGGAATGCTGTGATTGGTTGTCAAGGCAGACAATCAGAATTTAGCAGCCTCGTCTCTGATTGGCTGGAATTATGGCATATTGTAACTCTGGGTTGTGTTGAGCAAGCGAGCTGTTGGCATTTAGAGAGCACTGAGGGCGAGCATCAGGTGAGCAAGCTAGTGAAACGTTGCACGCGCAACTGATTGGCTGGAATTATGGCATATTGTAACGCTGGGTTGTGTTGAGCAAGCCAGCCGTCGGCATTTAGAGAGCACTGAGGGCGGGCATCAAGGGAGCAAGCTAGTGAAATGTTGCACGCGCAAAAGAGAAGGTCTGCACACATCCAAAAACTTATTTTAAATGCAAAATTGATTTTAGTGCACTCTAACATTTTCTCCACAAAACTCAGATCGCACACGTGCAAAATGCAATTTTGTGCGCTCAAAATATGATCTTTCATGCTCAGAATTGTGGCAGAGATCTAGCCCCATACATATGTTGGTTGAATATCAGAAGTAAGTGTAATGTTCTGGACTGTAGGACAAAGAGATCAGCTCCAGTCTGGCGGTGCTGGACCTGATTGATGCCATCCAGCCCGGCTGCGTCAACTACGACCTCGTGAAGAGAGGAAGCCTCAGCGACGAAGACAAACTGGACAATGCGAAGTAAGATTTCAAAAGAGAAATCTCATTAGATAGCTTACATCCAGCATTAAGATACTCGAATGTGTGTGAAGCCAAAAATATATGCATGCAGTCAATACTGTCAGTTATGACTAGGTTTGGGAATCTTTAGGCACCTTACGATTCGATTCTGGGATCATGATCTGATACAAGTAAATTAATTAATTTATATAACTAGTATAATATAACTTTTTAAAATACTCTTAATTTTAAATAAATATTCAATGATTGTATGTTAAGAATTCTAACCAACTAAATATAGCTTCAAAGCATACAAGCAAATATAATCTAATAAAGGGGAATGAAGAAACCCTTTACAAGCAATAAACAAAGTGTTTTCCATATCTGAGAGTGCTTTAAGTATCTGAAAGCTTCCAGACAGATCCAGTGATTGACTTTTCTCTTCTTCTCAGCATTATTGCTGTTTGATTACATTCACACTAATGCACAAATCTACTTTAGCATAGCAGATGTTTTGTCCTGTGTTTGAGACATAACTGACTGGTTACATTAATTTCACACCATGAAAGCATTTTGAGATGCAATTGCATTTAACCACTTACACAACGTAACACACAGCCAAGAATGATATCCCGCAATTGCTTTTGTATATTGCTTCAACCATGAAAATTTATGCAAGTTCATATACTTATGCAATGGTGTGTGTATTTGTGTGTGTGTATTTGTGTGTGTGTGTGTGTGTGTGTGTGTATTTGTGTGTGTGTGTGTGTGTGTGTGTGTTTGTGTGTGTGTTTGTGTGTGTGTGTGTGTATTTGTGTGTGTGTGTATTTGTGTGTGTGTGTGTGTGTAATTAGCAGCAAGCAGAATACAGCCAGCTCTAGCGCACACAAAATCGAATTGTTGATGAGAGAATCGCAATGCATTGTAGAATTGATTTTTTTTCTCCCACCCCTAATTATGACACAAATTAAGAAGGCTATAGAGTCTGTAATATTTGCCAGTACAGCGAGGTTATTTCTGTCTCTCTTGCAGGTTTGCTGTGTCCATGGCCAGGAAGACATGAAAATTCAAGTTCATATACTTATGCAATGGTGTGTGTATTTGTGTGTGTGTATTTGTGTGTGTGTGTGTGTGTGTGTATTTGTGTGTGTGAGTGTGTGTATTTGTGTGTGTATTTGTGTGTGTGTGTATTTGTGTGTGTGTGTGTGTGTGTATTTGTGTGTGTGTGTGTGTGAGTGTGTGTATTTGTGTGTGTATTTGTGTGTGTGTGTGTGTATTTGTGTGTGTGTGTATTTGTGTGTGTGTGTGTGTGTAATTAGCAGCAAGCAGAATACAGCTGTCTCTAGCGCACACAAAATCGAATTGTTGATGAGAGAATCGCAATGCATTGTAGAATTGATTTTTTTTCTCCCACCCCTAATTATGACACAAATTAAGAAGGCTATAGAGTCTGTAATATTTGCCAGTACAGCGAGGTTATTTCTGTCTCTCTTGCAGGTTTGCTGTGTCCATGGCCAGGAAGATTGGCGCTCGTGTGTACGCTCTGCCTGACGATCTAGTGGAGGTCAAACCCAAGATGGTGATGACCGTGTTCGCGTGTCTAATGGGCAGAGGGATGAAGAGGGCGTAAAGCGGGACCCTGCGGACAATCAAACGCTGATGTCCTACCCACAAGCCATTTTGCTGGTTGAAAGGCTTCTGGTTCAGTAAATTTATTACAACCACAATTTAAAAAAAAAATGCCAACAGATGTTAAAGAATCATGTTTAAGTTTGGCGGGACTGCAATGTTGAAATGGGCTTGAAGTTTATGGAAGGGGACCAAAACATTTACGATTCCATCTGCAGAAGGGACAAATTTATACCAAATTATACCATCTTCAGTGAATTTCAAGATGACTAAAGCATATCTGCGCTGGATCCAACCCATGTCAGACTCAGCTTTGCAATACTCTATTTACATAATTGATAAAGGATGTGTGTACGAGTGATAGGTGTAGTTTTGACAGCTTTGGACATTTAGAGTCACGACTGGCCTTACTAGATGCAGTATTGCCTCTCTGCAGAACATGACTGTGTTTGAATCATTGAATTGGACCGCTTATTCTCCTTATGTTACAGAATTTACCAGAACGGTTTCAGTGAGACACTTTAACACATTCCATAGTTAAATCTCAGTGTACTATTTGTCTCATGTATATGTATACTCTTTTTACGTACAAGACACATCCAAACAGAATGAACTATGCATGATCTATATTTTTATTTAAAACAATACACTCAGAAAATGGCTTTAAAAGCTTTAAGCATTAACCAATCCATGCTGTTCGTTCAATACGAAGATGACAAATAAAGGTCATCACATGTGGTCAGTGTCAAACCTGTTACCGCTGGTTGATGATAAGTGACTGTGTTGCCGGGAATGAAACTGGAAGTGGCTGGTCATACGGCAGCATGTTATCTATGGACCGAAGCAGCTCAATCCAAATGTCTGTAACTGAAAACATCATACAAATAAAGCAGAAAATGCAACTGTGCATTGTATGCCAGCTTCAGCATGTCTTCTTCTTTCTTTCTTTTTCTTTTTCCATGAACAGTGTTTTGTGTTGAGCAGGGTCTGGATGAATTGTGCTGCTCAAATAAATAGTAAAGTTATGGTGTAAAAACACTATCCATCCATCCATCTCTTGAATGTTGAAGGTGATTAAATCTACAGTTTTTCAGTAATGGCTGAATAAGTGAAAGGATGGTTTTTGGGGTCAAAAGCCTCTTTGAAAGGCATAAATGGTCTCCTGTAGACTTATTCTGGTTTAAAAAGGCTAATAAATGACAGTAAGCAGCAAATTAGGAGTTTATTGAGGGAAAATATCTCTGGTTACTAGTGTAAGCATGGTTCTCAGAGAATGGGAAAGAGACACTGCATCTGAGAAAGACGCCATGGGGGAATGCCTCCATCATGACCACTGTCTAAAGCACGTGTTAAAACACAAAAAATGTAATTGGTTGACACCATGAAAGCGCGCCATGTAATACGTCATCCTCTTTTATCTGAAGAAGAAGTGACCAGGCAGTCCGAAGATTGGCAACAAGACGCAGTTGTCTTCTCATTGGGCTCTTGAGATGTGTACCTCTGGGGAGCCAGTTTAAGGACCCTCTGGAATGAGGGAGGTACTACTCTGCACTCAACCCTAAAGAAGACTGGCGTATCAAAAGCAATAGCTGCCACCACTTGATCTTGCTCTCTTCAGGTGGTATGATTTCAGGAACCTGACCAAGCTCATATCAGGGTGACGATCCTGAAGTCCTGATTGGAAAAAGAAGTGAGCTTTGTATTAATCAAAACTGGCTCTTCACCCTGTTCTCAGGACTCAGCACGACAAAAAGAAAAAGAAACCTCTCTTGTCGATACTAGGATCTTGTTTCATAAGACAGGTTTAAAGAAATCATACCAAAAATGAGTAGAGGACCTTACTTTAAGACCCTAAATTGGGTCTTAACTCATGTCCATAGTGAACACTTCGCTATTCAAGGGAACTGCAGTTTGCACAAGGAATCTCCAGACTCCAGCACCCGCGGGAGATCTACAATAAGAAGGATTCACAATCTGAGGTGAAAGAAAAAAAAACATCCCGTTGGGTTCGAGAGATCAGAAGAGCTCTTCTCTGGGAACAGAACAGTTTTTCTCCTCCCCAGTGTCAGGCAGGTTAACCCACAGGTACCTCTCTATGTCAGCAGTCTGCTTGGTAGCCCAGAGATCCTGGTCTGTGGTGTGGCGCAGCTCGGCCACCGCTTCAGGGGACATATTCTGGCCCTGGTCCAGATGCTTCAGCAGGTCGGCCTGGTATGCCTGCAGTACAGCTGCTGTATGCAGAGCACCGCCTGCGTGACCCGCTGCCACATATGCTCCACATAAATGATGACGGTTCACCCATTGAGAGGCATCTCCAGCATCTCTTCAACGGGAGGCATGCTCATGCATTGCCTCAATATCGCGTAATTAGCGTGACTGAAGAGGTGAATGTGAGCCGAACAATGTTTTCTCAACCTCAGTGTTGATAGAAATAGAAGGCTCACAGGAGCTGGAGGGTTATTGCTGAACAGAAATCGCTCGTCCAACCTGCCATCAACGATTTCATATCTCGCGTGTCTCCAAGGGAGATCTAGTGTCTTTGTGGCATGGGCCATAACTTCCAACAGCTTCTCGTATGTGAGGCAGGCTGGAAGGGCTCAGAATCAAGCAGCTCGCTAGTATCAGTGACTGAAGATTGAGAAAGATCAAGACCCTTATCAAACTCTTTGGCCAGCTTAATTTACAATCTCAATCTCTCAACAACGAGCAGGTCCTCCTGAGCCACGGGGAGCCAGTGCTTGTCCCAGTTCCCTCAAAAAAGGGACAAACATGAGCTTTTTCATTGAAAAGTTCTTGCAGTGCGCATGCTCAGTCCTCGATCTTTTCGATCCTGATCCTCACCCAAGCACATGATGTACAAGTCGTGCCTGTCCTCAGGTGCCAGAAATGCACACACTTTGTTTTGCCTGGGAGGATTCTATGGATCTCCTAGAGACCCGCTATGAACAAATGGCTCCTGAAGACACAAAAGAGCATGAGGTGTACTACTGACACCCTTTTATACTCAGTTGTGCTGGTACACTTTAAAAAATGCTGGGTTAAATATAACCCAGCGCTGGGTTAAAAAGGGACAAACCCAGCTATTGAGTTGTTTTGAGTCAAAACAACCCAACCGCTGGGTCAAAACAACCCAATAGCTGGGTTTGTCCCTTTTTAACCCAGTGCTGGGTTATATTTAACCCAGCATTTTTTAGAGTGTACACTCTAAAAAATGCTGGGTTAAATATAACCCAGCGCTGGGTTAAAAAGGGACAAACCCAGCTATTGAGTTGTTTTGAGTCAAAACAACCCAACCGCTGGGTCAAAACAACCCAATAGCTGGGTTTGTCCCTTTTTAACCCAGTGCTGGGTTATATTTAACCCAGCATTTTTTAGAGTGTACACTCTAAAAAATGCTGGGTTAAATATAACCCAGCGCTGGGTTAAAAAGGGACAAACCCAGCTATTGAGTTGTTTTGAGTCAAAACAACCCAACCGCTGGGTCAAAACAACCCAATAGCTGGGTTTGTCCCTTTTTAACCCAGTGCTGGGTTATATTTAACCCAGCATTTTTTAGAGTGTACACTCTAAAAAATGCTGGGTTAAATATAACCCAGCGCTGGGTTAAAAAGGGACAAACCCAGCTATTGAGTTGTTTTGAGTCAAAACAACCCAACCGCTGGGTCAAAACAACCCAATAGCTGGGTTTGTCCCTTTTTAACCCAGTGCTGGGTTATATTTAACCCAGCATTTTTTAGAGTGTACACTCTAAAAAATGCTGGGTTAAATATAACCCAGCGCTGGGTTAAAAAGGGACAAACCCAGCTATTGAGTTGTTTTGAGTCAAAACAACCCAACCGCTGGGTCAAAACAACCCAATAGCTGGGTTTGTCCCTTTTTAACCCAGTGCTGGGTTATATTTAACCCAGCATTTTTTAGAGTGTACACTCTAAAAAATGCTGGGTTAAATATAACCCAGCGCTGGGTTAAAAAGGGACAAACCCAGCTATTGAGTTGTTTTGAGTCAAAACAACCCAACCGCTGGGTCAAAACAACCCAATAGCTGGGTTTGTCCCTTTTTAACCCAGTGCTGGGTTATATTTAACCCAGCATTTTTTAGAGTGTACACTCTAAAAAATGCTGGGTTAAATATAACCCAGCGCTGGGTTAAAAAGGGACAAACCCAGCTATTGAGTTGTTTTGAGTCAAAACAACCCAACCGCTGGGTCAAAACAACCCAATAGCTGGGTTTGTCCCTTTTTAACCCAGTGCTGGGTTATATTTAACCCAGCATTTTTTAGAGTGTACACTCTAAAAAATGCTGGGTTAAATATAACCCAGCGCTGGGTTAAAAAGGGACAAACCCAGCTATTGAGTTGTTTTGAGTCAAAACAACCCAACCGCTGGGTCAAAACAACCCAATAGCTGGGTTTGTCCCTTTTTAACCCAGTGCTGGGTTATATTTAACCCAGCATTTTTTAGAGTGTACACTCTAAAAAATGCTGGGTTAAATATAACCCAGCGCTGGGTTAAAAAGGGACAAACCCAGCTATTGAGTTGTTTTGAGTCAAAACAACCCAACCGCTGGGTCAAAACAACCCAATAGCTGGGTTTGTCCCTTTTTAACCCAGTGCTGGGTTATATTTAACCCAGCATTTTTTAGAGTGTACACTCTAAAAAATGCTGGGTTAAATATAACCCAGCGCTGGGTTAAAAAGGGACAAACCCAGCTATTGAGTTGTTTTGAGTCAAAACAACCCAACCGCTGGGTCAAAACAACCCAATAGCTGGGTTTGTCCCTTTTTAACCCAGTGCTGGGTTATATTTAACCCAGCATTTTTTAGAGTGTACACTCTAAAAAATGCTGGGTTAAATATAACCCAGCGCTGGGTTAAAAAGGGACAAACCCAGCTATTGAGTTGTTTTGAGTCAAAACAACCCAACCGCTGGGTCAAAACAACCCAATAGCTGGGTTTGTCCCTTTTTAACCCAGTGCTGGGTTATATTTAACCCAGCATTTTTTAGAGTGTACACTCTAAAAAATGCTGGGTTAAATATAACCCAGCGCTGGGTTAAAAAGGGACAAACCCAGCTATTGAGTTGTTTTGAGTCAAAACAACCCAACCGCTGGGTCAAAACAACCCAATAGCTGGGTTTGTCCCTTTTTAACCCAGTGCTGGGTTATATTTAACCCAGCATTTTTTAGAGTGTACACTCTAAAAAATGCTGGGTTAAATATAACCCAGCGCTGGGTTAAAAAGGGACAAACCCAGCTATTGAGTTGTTTTGAGTCAAAACAACCCAACCGCTGGGTCAAAACAACCCAATAGCTGGGTTTGTCCCTTTTTAACCCAGTGCTGGGTTATATTTAACCCAGCATTTTTTAGAGTGTACACTCTAAAAAATGCTGGGTTAAATATAACCCAGCGCTGGGTTAAAAAGGGACAAACCCAGCTATTGAGTTGTTTTGAGTCAAAACAACCCAACCGCTGGGTCAAAACAACCCAATAGCTGGGTTTGTCCCTTTTTAACCCAGTGCTGGGTTATATTTAACCCAGCATTTTTTAGAGTGTACACTCTAAAAAATGCTGGGTTAAATATAACCCAGCGCTGGGTTAAAAAGGGACAAACCCAGCTATTGAGTTGTTTTGAGTCAAAACAACCCAACCGCTGGGTCAAAACAACCCAATAGCTGGGTTTGTCCCTTTTTAACCCAGTGCTGGGTTATATTTAACCCAGCATTTTTTAGAGTGTACACTCTAAAAAATGCTGGGTTAAATATAACCCAGCGCTGGGTTAAAAAGGGACAAACCCAGCTATTGAGTTGTTTTGAGTCAAAACAACCCAACCGCTGGGTCAAAACAACCCAATAGCTGGGTTTGTCCCTTTTTAACCCAGTGCTGGGTTATATTTAACCCAGCATTTTTTAGAGTGTACACT